ATGGAGATGAAAGAAGTTCTAAGAGATCTAATTATGATATTCGTAATTAGCATGCATTAGTGTTCAAGTGCAACCAGTTTTGATTGATTGAAAAAGAATTTCTTCAACATGATGCCCGTGGTAACTTACAGACGAAGCTGTCACTTTTGTTTTCTAAAGAATAAAGATGTAATAAATGATCAAGAGTGGTCCGTGTCTTAAACATAATAGAAATGAATCAATTCTAAGCAGGAAAGCAAATCAGTCTTATCCGTCAATATGACCTGTGATAAGGGACAATATGAATAAACCATTGTAGCTGAACACGATGTTCCATCTGCGATAAAGCTCAACATCGAGGGCGTTCACAATATTCTGGAATTGGCGCGAAAATACAAATGTAAACTTTTCATTCCTAGCACAATTGGTAAATATGGTGAATTTTAGTGAGTAAATCAAAAGAATCTTCCTCTTTCGGAAACCTTGAGATTCGAAGAGTTGTTCAAAAAGTTGGCTCAATAATCAGATATTGCCCTTCCCATTTTACTAAATGCTGTTCTAGACAGAAGGCTGGCCTGGCTCGGGTGTGGGTGTAGATGTGGGCATCGATTTGTGCATGTGTGTAAGAGGATTGTAATTTAAATTATGCGACCAAACCATACCCACACTGGTTATACTAATTAAATTTTCTGCTAACAGGAAGAGCGTTTGCGAACTAGAAAAATATAAATTAACTTTACTTCTCTTTCCATTCATGTTTGAAAAAATTACAGCTGAATTTCCAATTATGAAGTATGTAAAATCTTAAAGTCCAGCAAGAAAACTGGTAGATGATATTTATGTTGCGCAAAAATACGAAATTTTCTTAAATATTGACGGGGATTGTCACAGCCCCCTCCCCCAGTCTGGCGGTTCTGAGCTCGTTTTCTCGATTGATAACAGAAATATTCAATTGCGTCTCAGTATCGTGACTTTTGGACCAGATTGTGTTACCATTCGCATCTTGATTGGAATCTAGATAATATATCGACAGTCTTAACCTTCAAAACAATGATTTCCTTTGAGTTTCAACACGATCATTATGTAGATTACAATTTATATCATCATACCTTATAGTTGAGTGAACTAATGAACCATTCAAAACGAGAGGTAATTGTAAAACTAATTTTAGGAATTTTCGGAACTCCAAATGCGTTTCACAAAAAACGCTTGGAATCACTAATTCTGTAAACTTCCAAACCGAGAATAATGGTAATACTTCAACTTTAAAGTTGAACCTAAAGTAGTACCTCAAATTTTAAGTGAAGTAAAATAAGAGTATTCAAGTTATTTTTTAAATAGTTAAAGTAATTTTATCTTAAATTTTTTGTAAAAAATTGATTTCTTTCATGAAAGGCTTAGCATAATAAGAGAAATATTTATATCGTAAATTTTAATGAAAGCAACCCTTCTTTCTGGAGAAGGAATGTTTTTGTGAAAAGTCTACTTTAAACTGCAAATTTTCAAGGTTAAAGTACGCCGTATGCTTACTTTAACGTCCGTTCAAAACTCTCAAGCAAAGTTGCTATATCTATTCTCATTAATGAAGATTTATTCTTTCAGGTGCATTTGGTTTAGAGTCTCCGCGCAGTCCAACGCCAGACATTTGCGTTCAAAGACCACGCACAATATACGGTGTCTCAAAGGTGCATAATGAATTATTGGGCGAGTATTTCTATCACAAATACAACCTGGACTTCCGATGTTTACGCTTTCCTGCCGTGATATCAGGTGATGCAAAACAAGAGGGTGGTACAACAAGTAAGTTTTATTGCATGCTATTAGTTTTTAATAGTTTCATTCGAAAAGAACTAGTGGTTTAACTAAAATGGTTGCTTAGCTCTTATGAATTGTGATTCGCACAATTTTCAATATAAAAAACTCCTTTTTCATTTTCTAAAACAGGTTATGCCATAAAAATGTTTCATGATGCTCTCACAAGCGGTAATACCACCTGTTATCTTCGCAGTGATACGCGATTACCAATGATGTGGATTGATGATTGTATCCAATCAATTATTGACATAATGGAGGCACCTACATCTAAACTCAAACAAAGAACATACAATGTAGCAGCCATGAGCTTCACGCCAAACGAACTGGCCAACACTATTCGAAAATATAAATCAAGTTTCACAGTATCTTACACTATTGATCATAGACAACAAATAGGTAAAATACCTCATTCATATTTAATAATTCAGTCATTTCAACAAATAAAGTTCTGAGGAAAGCTATTCATCAAGTCGTATTACTTTTTTATGATAGACAAGACGGATTTTAATCTGCAACAAAGCCTTTTCTCTTATTCAACGAAATAACTTCTATCAAATTTTGAGTTCATTAAGACAAAGCAACATTCCACTGCCATACAACAATTGAATTGCCCCATGAGTAGAGCTTTGACTCATACATTTAGACACCTAAAGATCAGTAACTAAGACGTTGACCTTGATTATCAGAAAGAGTTAAAATATTGGAAGCTTAGGTCGTTCCTATGGATTCTCAGCTATGTATATCAGTATTTCGTGAAAAAAAGTTATTTAGGAAAGTAAACAGTAAGGATTGATCCACAAAACTACGTCTTAGGTATTAACCCAAATCTTCGCTTCAATGGAAAAATCTATATCGTGATTTATCATCACGTAACAAATATTATCGATGCCACTATTTAAGAATAGTATTGATTGCTCATACGTATTCGAAAATTATTTGAGGATCGAATCTACTCAAGACTGAAGATTTTCAACTCTCTGGGTTAGTTGGAAAGAAGTAATAATTGTAGATTATTCCCTAGTAACAACTGCAATAATGGGGCGTGGGTGTGATGGGGTGCTTGTGCGTGTGAATTTAGTTTCATAAAGAGTTTCTATTCAAACCCACACTCAAACTCACGGTCACATCCCACACCATCGAGCAGGGTATTGGGATTCAAGAACTTGCCTGGGCGAGTCGGGGGTCGTTAAAAGTGGTCCGATTTTGACCGTGCAACACGTAAGAAAAGTGGAAAACGATGCACTACGTTTACATAGAAGTGTATCATAAATAAGAAAGATAAACAGGAAAAATCAACAGACACCAGCGAGAGTATTAATAGTACTAGAGGGTTATCTATTGGCATTGACAAAAACTTTATCTACATTTGAATGTTCAAAAACAAGAAGAAAACCTCATTACAGTGTCATTGTTAGAAGCAACGCATTTCTCTTATTTCACACTTTCTCAACATTTTAGCTGATAGCTGGCCAGAAGCACTGGACGATCGCAATGCTCGAGAACATTGGGGTTGGAACCCAAAAGTTGATCTTGACGAATTGGTTCGGCGAATGTTTGAATATCTGAAAGCAAAACACCAAGCTCTATAACTGCACTCTAAAAACATTTCTTCCAGCGGGTACAAGGGAAGAACCTTAAAAGGCTTTTTAACAAATCTCATGGATTTGTACTCTCGTGGCTGAACCTTTTTAAATTTGGTTTGGTAATTTTTCAGAGTGTGGATAGCCTTTTTGAATAACAGCATGAACAAAAAAAATCAGAAGCAATGACAACACCACGCCTCTCATTTACTGACGTGTAAAACTATGAAAAATCACCACATACTCTACACACTAAAATAAGCTTGACTCTAGACACGGCGGTATACGTGTACTTAATGTAGAATATGATCCCAAGCAGTCTTCGACGCATTTCGATCAAAGTGTGAGGGCTGGGATGAACGTGTGCTACTTAAATTTTAATCTTATTTTCGAACCGAATAGGACGCCTTCATAGTTTTTTTCAACGTATGCGAGAGCTGCAAACTTAAATAAATGTTCCAGTTGATACATATACTGTTGGTGCTCGATGTTTTCATTTATGAGAAACCTACGAACTTATTATTTGAGAGAAAATAAAAATGTTTCAAATGTGCTTGAAGCTGATCAGGGTACATCTTTTTCTAAGTCAATTTGGCTCTGCGAAGAGATGAGACTAAGAATTTCCAAACATCTTATTTTAAAGCAGATATTATTCCGACTTCGTATCTGAATTGTTCTTTCCAATCCGACTTCGATTTCAATAGTTACGACAACATTTCAGGATTTTAGCGGAATTTTTCAGTTATTTTTCGCTTGAAAATTATAGTTTTATTACAAAAGCAGTCATATGGAACTTTCAAAAAAGCATTGTCGTGAAAATTGTCAGATTCAGCTCATGTAAGTATCAAGGTTATTTTAGAATCAAACTGATATTGCATCCCAAAATAATTAGAAATATCTGGTTATGGTTTTATAATTCCGGTCAGACAAAAGCTGAAACATTTTAACTATGAATCATTTCTAGCAGCTCAGCAGCTCTATCATCTGATCTGATTTTGCTGAAAGACAGACTACACTACTGTTAGCATTAGCGATCAAACATACTGATGATAAACGAAGCTAAAGATGTTCTTCTAGTCTAATTGACTTTGGATATCTGTCCGGATGGCAGAAGGAGTGGGCTCGAGTCCCAATAACTTCACATTTTCTTCGCTCTGCCACATACCATTAGTGACACTGCTTGCCTTTTTCGTTCAATGCACATGAGAGCTAACAATTACGAGGAAGGTCTCCCTGTAAAGCTTTATATCTGCAGCGAAATTGAACTAGTCGAAATCTAGCAAACAACTTGTTTCGAACAGACGCTTCGATAATTTTATTTAGCACTACCGATAGAGTTTTCTCCCGTCTTATCATACGACTAAGCAGCTTTAGGTGCAGCTGATTATACAGATTTTCATGAGCATCATTGTAGTATAGTATCAGCAGTGTTCAGGTGAATCTTCTGAAATTTTCTTAGAGAAAAGTGGTAAGTAAGTATTTAATAGCAGTGATGTCTCTATAGGAATATATTCTAATATCAGTTGAAATAACTAACGTTGAAGCATATGTGTTTTGCTTTTGATAGCACAACACATGGTACATCACGATGAATATGAATTGCACAATCGGAGGTATACAGAGGTATATATGTTCTTCTGTTGATTTGCGATGAAGAGATGTTCATAAATTTCAACTATCATTTTAAATAGTAACATCCAAAAATTCAACACAACTTCAGAGTTCGTAATTAATTTTATGCTAATACCCAGCAGAATGATTCCGATAGGAGGATTCTATCGGATTCGTGTTGGAATTTGATCGGATACAATATGGACTTCATTAAACTGACGAAATCCTATCGGGATCCGGGTGAGGGGCCTACAATTTGAACCCTAGTATTGGAATCCGATAAATTCCAGCGTCTGACTTTAACGGAATCCAACATAAGCATTCGATTCATGTGTTCTATTGATACCAGATGCTTATTCGTTGGTGATTAAGAGAATTGTTTTCTCCGTCAGATTCGTTAGTAGGTCCTACACTCTAAAAAAAATAGGTTTTCTACAGAACCTGTACCCAGGATAAGAAGCTTTGGGATTTTGTATCTATTTGCAGAACCTTAAAAGGTTTAGTAGATAAATATCTGAGCTTTTTTCGGTTCTGCAAATTGATACAAAACCCCAAAGGTTCTTATTATGGGTACAGGTTCTGTAGAAAACCTATTTTTAGAGTGTAGACCAGGAATCCGATAAGATTCACTGCCGGATTCATTCACCTAGGATATCTTTACTATTCACTGTCTGAACTTCTTCTACTTTTTCATTTGTTATTCATTCGTCGTCATGGATGTATCATCCATGCACCTAGAATAGCATGAATGGAAAAATACGCTGAAAAAAAGCGTCATATGATAAATCCTGTTACCTTTCATCAGAATGTATAGACCATTTTACCTACCCATCAAAATACTGAATGAAATTGTTTCTCATGTTGAAATACGTAGCGAGAAAATTTTTTATCAAAGCGTTTATACGGATAAAGAACTCTAAAATGGTATTTCATATGTTGCATTTTCCTAACCCCTTACCAAGAGTAAATGAAATTTCCAAATCAACTCATTTAGACGCACATATTTGTTTATAAAAGTGTATATAAAAACAAACTACCCGAGTATTATCTTCAGCAAAGCTGTTAGGAAGCGCTCATTAGTTCTGTCAGCCAGAGAGAGAGAGTTTGATCAAATGGTAGTTCAGAAGGTTGCTTAGGTCAATCAGCTGTTCCCTAAAAAAGGGTATTTCAAAAAGTCCTTGGAGGATTTCCGAGGCATCGGAAACCAAAAAACTACTACTGTTGGTATAAATTTGGAAGTCCATCTTCAAAATGGATAAAAGGTTTCTGACTCATCGACTTTCATCCCTTGACACTAAAACTCACCGCTACAAACTAAAAGTAAGCTACATTGATTCCTATTGAACCTGTAAATAAATTTCAATATCAAAGAATGCAATATCTAAAACGAAAATACAAATAATTATTATATTGAAATACATTAAGTTTGTAGAGTTACTTAGAATGATGTAGATGTACCATTTAAAGCAAACAAATAAAAGCAAATTGATATCATACCATTGCATATTGAATAAAGACTACCTTTCAATATTGCAGATGAAATCGAAATTAAAAAGGTGAACCGTATATTGATAGATGATTATTATTTAAGCGTATTTGTAACATTGAAGTTGAATTATCTAATATACAGGGCGTTCCATTTATTTTGAAACAGTTTCTATGGAGTTTTTCTTCCTTAATGACTTATTCAGATCTCACGATTTTCATATTAATCCAACTCACTAAGACTGTACATGTTATCAATTTCGCCAATTTTTGTATAAGTAAATGTCTTGTGATAAAATACTTGGCGGCTTCAACAAGGTCATTTTACAGTTTTTGAGAATGAACCTTTTTCAATTATTTCTCTATACTATTATCTTCCGGTCACAGACATATGTCACAGATACGTCTGCTGCCAGTGTATCTATGCTGAAAGTCTCAGCAATAAAGAGCGAGAATTCATAGAGAAATCGAGAAATGTTTCTCATGTATAATTGAAACGAAACTTATTGTAAGTCTTATCCTGCTTTCATCTCTGATATAATTAAAACTTTGAAACGGTAGTTAACTGTATTTTAGAATTGCGTACATCTGAGGATATCTTCGGCGTCTATGACCATCATGTAACGTTTTGAATTAAACCAGAAATGGTAGCAGGATAAACCTTACAACAAGGTTCGCTTCAACTATACATGAGAAATATTTCTCGATCTCTTTATGAATGCACACTCTTTATTGCTGAAAATTTCAGCAGAGATACGATAACAGCAGGTGTACTTGTGACATATGCCCGAGGCCGGCAGGAAATAGGATGGAGAAATAATCGAAAACATTTCACTTTCAGCGGTATCCACAAATGTGCTTTTCTCCAAAATTATCCAGTATTTTATCACAAGGCATTCGTCAATATAATATAGAGTCACTATCCCTAATTACGACAGTAAAAAATTCACTTCGATTGTTCAACTTCGTTCGTCGTCAATTTACTTTCGAATAAAAACATATTTATGTTTGCATGATCCTTGAAGTGTCCTCTTTCAAATGGTGTGTTTTGAACTTCTCTCACTCATATAGTTCTCGAGAAATCAGCGATCTACGATGAAGACCCCTCGTTGTCGTTATTAGAGTTACTTTCCTTAATTACGACACTAAGCTATTTTTTGTCCTAATTACGACACTCCAACAAAATTCAAGCAAAAATATTTCTTTCGAGAAAAACTCCTTTTTTTACATATGTTGCGTAACGGATACAGGAAAAGTGTCTGTAGTAATTTTGTAGAGCGTGTCGAACTCTATCATCGTTCAAAGGTTCATGACATATCAATACTGATTTTATTGAAATAGCTTTTCTGAAATAAGAAGGTCTCAAATCCAAAAAAAACATTTTGTCCTTAATTACAACACTAAGCAATTTTCGGTCCCTAATTACGACAAATGCACTAAACACCCTCTAGTATTAAAAAAGAGACAAAACTTACATTACACATGAATAGCACGATGGTTTCTGAAGTCTTTTCATAACACAGTTTCATATTTGAGAAAAATTGAATTTTTTCGTGTCTGTGGTCCCCCACAGGTATTTGAAAAACAATTTTTTCCTTTATTCTATTTGTTTTCTTTATACATCGATAGAACAAAGTGTGGTGATTACCAATATGTTGTCTTTTTTTAGTGTCTGCAGTAAGATAGCAGAGATCCGTGACATTTATGTATTACTGAAAAATCGGTTTTTCCTGGAAACCAAATACAGGATTCGCCTAAAACCTTCACCGAATACATCCATTTGACGCAGAATTGTTTTCTCTGCTAGAATATATAAGATAATGTCTGGTACAAAAACAGTTTAAAAAGTTTTTGACTGGGATACCGACCCCAATAGTCTTTTAGTGAAAAAATAGTGCATTTTACATACCCATATAAACTCCACCTTTTACAGTCAATCATGAATATTTTTATCCCANAGACACTTTTCCTGTATCCGTTACGCAACATATGTAAAAAAGGAGTTTTTCTCGAAAGAAATATTTTTGCTTGAATTTTGTTGGAGTGTCGTAATTAGGGACAAAAAAATAGCTTAGTGTCGCAATTAAGGAAAGTAACTCTAATAACGACAACGAGGGGTCTTCATCGTAGATCGCTGATTTCTCGAGAACTATATGAGTGAGAGAAGTTCAAAACACACCATTTGAAAGAGGACACTTCAAGGATCCTGCAAACATAAATATGTTTTTATTCGAAAATAAATTGACGACGAACGAAGTTGAACAATCGAAGTGAATTTTTTACTGTCGTAATTAGGGATATTGACTCTAATAGTAATAATAATATCTCCCTTAGGCTTATCGCCTGTTGGGACCGGCGCTAAAGGGTCCACAAGCAGCCAGGTTCTATCGTTTTTTCTCTTTTACAGACGACGGTATCTACACCCCATTCGTCCAACGCTTTCCCCGTTAATGATATGGGTTGGTGATCATCATAGGATCACGTGGCCGTGACATCTATGTTGAAGTTATTGTTTTGACTCTGCATACTGACTAATGATATAATCGATATGCTATCGGATGAGCCATCCGGAGCAATTAGCCGTTAGTAACTTGTTCAGGGTTATTCCATGGTTGGCGATACTGTGGTTTGAACACAGCACCTTGTGAATATGTGTCGAATAACATATCCACTCAACCATGGCGGCTTATTCGTCAATAAAAACACTGATTATATGGGTAACATGTACAGTCTTAGTGAGTTAGATTAATATGCGAATCAGGAGTTCTGAATAAGTCACTGAGAAAGAATAAATCTATGAGAATTGTTTCGAAATAAATGGAACACTCTGTAAAGACAACGTAATTAGCATTTGATTCATGGACATTGAATATAAAATACACCTTCCAAATTGTAAATGGAATATTGAAGTCAAAAAGGGTGGGTGTGTCGATCAAAAAACCATACGTATCCACACCGGCATCCTCAGGGATTCTTGTACCCTACTATTGAAATACTCAGTTGCTTTTGTAAAACAAATTCAGTGTAAATAATCCTGATGTGTCTATACAACTCCATCTTGAACATCGTAAAAACTGAATGTCTCACTTTTGGTCTACTAAAAACTACTGGTATTTTAACCTTAATCCTTCGACAATGAGTGCTTTCTTTTGATGTGAAAATAACTTGTCTTTCCAAATTTAAACACAAACAACTCCATCGTGCGCATCTTGCGGAGCCGATATAGTTTCTAAGAGCATAGTGAGCGTACCTACAATAGTGAGATTTCTGCCTCCCTGCCCCACCCACTGCAGGATATAATTAGTATGAAGTATCCGCTGAGATATGTCGTGCGTGACAAGGTAACACCCGTCCAAAATGTGCGGTACATGACATCGCTCAACTAAGAAATAGTCTTGGTTAATATATAACGGTTTCATCTTGTTTCTTTTTTTTTTGAGTCACGATTTCGTTGAGATGTTTCCTATGATTTTACTTATCATGATACACTGAAAAAAATAGCACCACAGGGAACCAAGAAAGTTTCGAATTTTCTCACTGAACTTTAAAATGGTTTCGAAGATACTACGGAACTTAAAAAGGGTTTCGCACTTTGAAACAAATTCTGAGCCTTTTTTAGATTTCGTAGGTTTCCTATAAAACCTTTGAAAAAGTATCCTGGACTCTTGATAATAATTTTGAGGCTATATTGGGGTTTTACGAAACCATTTTGAGGGTTTAGAATTCGTTTAAAAAATGGTTTCGTGTGGTAATATTTTTTCCCAGTGTAATCAGGATATTTAGAATACATACAACGGTGAAAAGAGAAAGCGGCAGCATTTATGCGTATTCACTACAAAAAAGTACGGCAAAGCCAAGATAATATAACAATTTCGCATTAGCGCTTCAGTCGTTCAATTTTTGCTTCTTTTGATCGAGACATTCAGCCATAATATCCAAAGCATCGGAAAGCGTTGTACCTCGTTTTCTATCCTCGATGATTTCATTTCCTAATGGGGTTTTTTCAGCAACAAATCTATATGTATTCGCTACTGCTTGGAAAAGTTCGGCAGTTAAACCTATTTCTTCATTGGTTTTTGCAATTTCTTCCATTTCAGCTACCCACCGTGATGCTTTAGGAGCCATATCTGGAATAAGCCGATTGGCCATTTCAAATCCATGCGGCATACTTCTTTTGAGCTCATCTAAAAATGCGCCATCGAGTTTGAGCGAACGTGCGGCAACACATGCATGAAGCGCGATGGCGGTTATCCCTTTAGTCATTGTGCCATAACACATTTTGAGACCACTTGCTTGACCGATCTCATCTCCTAGGACACGAATATCAAGCATAGATGTATCTCCTATTGCGAGTGCAACTTTTTGTGCATGTTTGCCAGAGAGATATATTGTAGGGCTATATTCGTTGGCTCGCGGTGGTAAACCAACGATGGATCCATCGACAAAGCAGTCTTCAGAAAAGTTTGAAGCAATAGAACAAGTTGTTTGTGGAGCGATTGCGTTCATATCAACATAAATAGTACTGCCCCGATTTAATGACATATGCCGTGAAAAACGATGAGCAACAGCTGCAGCTTCGGAAGGAGAGACAATCGAAAGAATTATATCAGCTTGGCGAAGGAGCTCTTCGTCGGATCCTGTATCGATAATACCCGCTGAATATGACAATGCTTTAGTACGTTCGCTACGTCCATTCAAGTTAGTAATAACACGTTTGGTTTGTGGATTATTTGAAAGGATAACTCTACCTATCGCATGACCCTATAAAAAACGCAAGTAAATGCTGAATTAAGAATATTACCTACCATGTCGCCAGGGCTAATTATAGCGATTGTTGTTACTATTGTTGTCATTGCCATTGGCTTGAGTCGATGATTCTCAATACTCTTTCCGATTTTCGTTGTCTTTTATTACGATTGACTTTGCATGCAAGCGGCAATAAAAAGTTGTTTTGTTCGTTCTGTGTGTTGTGTCACAGAGAAGAAGAAAAAAACATGATTGAAACTTTAAAAAAAAATGCTACGCGTTTATATACCTAGAAGGAGAATGCCACGTGATAACAAAGATAAAATATTCAACATTACGAAGAAAAAGCAACGAAACCTTATCGAATTATTTATTTCTGAGATGTAAAATTGATAGAATGGCGGTTGCGATGCATAGAGTTACTCTGAAAATTAAAAAAAGTAGTATTTCAGTACTGTGTAATGGCTCAATGTCACGTTTAGAACGTTTCAAATTTCTGTACAAGAGCACTGAATCACAAAATGTTACGCCCGATAACGGTGAACCATGGAAGATATATTACTCAAAAGTGCTGAAATATGCATAATTCTGTCTTAGAAGGCGAAACCCTGAAGATTATGGTCCAATGATGTGGAGCTATCTTAAGGGTGTGGGTGTTAGTGTGAGTGTCGGTCGAAATAACACCCACATCTTTCACGAGAAACCTCGAATAAAAATATTTTATCAGCACATATTATTCTCTTATTTTATATTCTTAACCTCTTTTATTTTTACCTCAAATTCAAGGATACACATAGTAAACGAAACCCAGTCAGACAAACTATAAAAAAAAACGTTTGAAAACGCGTCGGAATTTTAACGAAAAAAAAATCGTAAAAAGCGCACATTTCTACGCGTTGAAATGTGCGCTTTTTACGATTTTTTTTTCGTTAAATTTTATTAATGCGTTTAATTTCGTTCAAAATATTAACGCGTTGTGAACGCGTAGAAATGTGCGCTTTTTACGATTTTTTTTCGTTAAATTTTATTAATGCGTTTAATTTCGTTCAAAATATTAACGCGTTGTGAACGCGTAGAAATGTGCGCTTTTTGCGATTTTTTTTCGTTAAATTTTACTAATGCGTTTAATTTCGTTAAGATTTTTAATGGTGTTTAACTTCGTTCAAATATTAGTTTGTTATGAACACGTTAAATTCAAACGAACTTTCACGCGTTTGTTTACTGAACCAACGAGAAAACATCCTCAATTACTCCCTCTAGATTTCATCCATCTTTTTTTTCGTAGATACTATATAGTTTTCTAGTAAAAATTGTAACAAAATTCGGACTCTTATTGAGATTTATCATAAGCTATCGAATTTTGTTACAATTTTTACTAGAAAACTATATAGTATCTACGAATAAAAAGATGGATGAAATCTGGAGGGAGTAATTGAGGACGTTTCATCGTCATTAAATAATTGGATAAAAATTTGAAATCCATAATTTTTAGTTTATAAGAACTCATATAACCTATTAGTCTTGTAAATTAAGGTTATCAGTTTCAGATTGTTCTTATGGTTATATACTCCGTTCATGAATGCAGTACTAAATGATACACAAAAAAAAGAACTCGTAGAGAAAAAATGTAAAAATTTCGTACCTCCTAGAATAAAAGAAAGAAAATGTTTTACTTACTACAAATATAATTGTTGAAATTGATCTAGAGAAAAAAATAAATATATATTTCTTTATGTAATCGCATATTTAAATATTTTCTCACTTTCGAATGCTCCATTCAGCCAAATAAAAAATTCTAAGATTATTATTAATTATAAATGTATGCGTAAGAGTAAATCTGTGAGTGGAATAGATCTGAACGAAAAAATTGATTTGATGTTATGAACATGTTCTTACCGAGAATTTAATTATTATTCGACTAAGTCTAAATGAAAAAAAATAGTTTGACTTTAATACCAATACTTACCACAGAATTTGTTATTCGAATAAATCGGCATTAAAATTGAGCTTGAAGTTTTTTAATTGTTATTTCACGCTCTATTTAATACTGCATTAAAACATAAGTCTTGATCACAATAGGTATAATTAACTTACTACTTAAGTCTTAATCGTATACAACAACTCTTTCAATGCATTGAATGTCGATTGTATTTAAACATATAGCATGGCAAATGTTTATCATATTCACTCGTCGTACACAGCGATTCTTTTCTTATATATATATATATATTATATTATCCTGTACTATCGTAATATTCGAAGCTATAAGTTTAATCAAGTTCAATTCAAGTTTATTTCACGCTTAGATAGATCCAAAGAAAACTTCGTACTTCACTTTATTTAAACAGATGCCAAGAGTAGCTGAATGCTATACTCTAGATGGTGTTAGTGTTTCGAGTATGCTATAAACGTTCTTCAATAGGAAATCAGCGTTGAAATAGATAAGCGGTCTTAAAGAATAGTTTCAATATTCTATTAGATTACTTTGAAATGCAAAATGTTCACTGTTTTCTAATTATAGCACAGGAATTTGTACGATAAATGCATTTCAAAGAAATCATGACTATGAAAATTCAAAGCAACTCATCGATAGATGTCAAACAAATAAGACTCGCACAAGTTCTGCTCTTCTATGTCAATGCTTGAATAATAAATTTATAATATTTTGGCTTTTCTAGGTGAAAAATTCTGTTTTGAATATTTTTACACAAGTGCCCATGAGTTACCCTTAAAAAAAAAGCTACTGTAAATATGATTGATTCATAATGTCGCCCAATGCGACATCTCAGATTCAGTAAAAGAAGTAAAAGAAGTAAAAGAAGAAAAAGAAAGAAAATGTTTTCAACTTTCATACATACCTAAATGATTTGTCTATAGTCGGATTCGTATCAGAGGAAGTATAAAGACTTGTTTATCTTATAAATAAGCGATACAGCAGAGAAAACATAGACTGTTGCCGTTCAGTCGACTCTGTTTAGTTAGTATGATTTATTACTTTGCAACATTCTTGATTCTCATCACTTTTACAGCCTATTATTTCTAAGTTTGTTTTTTACTTCAATAATATATATATATATATAATATATCGCAATCAGACAAGCGTTAAAAGGATTTTTATGGAAGAAAACGCATTAAAACATCGTTATTTGCAATGCTTGTCTCGCCGGGGGTATATTCCTTCGAATAAAAGTATATGTATGTAATTCTAGATACATTCTTCATCTCTTTTCAATCAAATAATCTTCAGCTGCTTTTACTCTCTGGTAATGCCGAAACGAAGCAACAAATTGTTGAGCAATTCTAGAAGCATTAGACCGTCAAATACATCAACAACAGATGCTTCATCTGACAAGAATATTTTTGATGTAACAAATGTATCTTCACATTCGAATGATGATTTTCTTAATAATATTGAGGTGATAATAAACAAGAGAAAAAAACATCTAAAACATTTCTATGATCGTAAAAAAAAGCATCAGGCTAGTTCCAATGCTACAAGCAGCTTGCTAAAAATGATTAGACAGTTTTTCATTGAAGTTTTATTTTTTTAAATAGGTACATTTGATGCTGATGATAATATGTCAGATGACCTCGATGATTGTCCGAATCCTGAAGCGAACAAGAAAAGCAAATCAATCAATACAATTGCATTTCAAAATGTTCAATCAAATATGACTGAAGAAATTAATATTCCACCAGTTACTCCTACACAAACAACAGCTTCTCGTGATTTACATTCGGTATCAATATGTACTAATACTAAAGTACATTGCCGTGCGGACCAATCTATGTTTTCAAATGAAAATCATCGTTCAGATCCACATTTGTTTGTTGAAAGATCCGGTTCATTCATCGGTGCCGATGATGAAGATAATCGTGCATTAAACAATCGTTTACCGTTGACACAAAATCCAATTGAATATGATGAAAACCAATTATCGTTGTCAGTAGCAAGTTTTATATTAATATCTAAAAAGCAATCATTTTTTGTAATATATTTTCATAGAACAATGAATCATGCAACTTCTCATGTAGCAAATACTTCCAGGAACCATGAACTTTTAAAGTCAAGGTGATGTTTTTATCCTCATTTTGACTAGAGCGTTTTACATTATTTCTCAGCATTTTTTCATGAAATTTGTAACAAGAATGATTGAATTGATTCATTTTTTAAGTCCATTGCATATATACAACTACTTACTGCTAGACAAAATTAAATGCTTATTTCGCTAGATTCTTTGCAATATAAATGCGTTCATGTCACATTACGCACAAGCTTATCATTAATTAATAAATACCGAATTGTTTTACAAATAATACGCTGTGTCGGAATCAGAATCATACTTCAATTATGCGTTTGAATATTTTTGAAAGAGAATATATGATCTTTTATACTGAACTTCTATTTTCCGAGTAAACTCTCTTCAGAGAATGTTACCCCAACCAGCTTCAATTTTTTTTGCAAAGCAAGGGCTTGAAGGGTGGGGCTTGGTTTCAATGGAGAACAATTTTTTGTATTGCAGGTATCCTTTCATGAGCTTATAAATACTTTAGTCCTTAATAAGTGATGCATAAATTCGCTTAATGAATGTTTCAATATAAGGCAGATCGTATCATTTTGTACTAGTTGCTATTATCCAGTCTTAAAATTGTTCACAAAATTTGAACTTAACATGGTCCACCCTTATTAGGTTTTTTTATCCTAGAATCTCCAATATTTTTTTCAAGTAAATCTAATAGAATCAAGTAATATCATATATACGTCTTTTTCCACGGTTCTCCGACAGCTAACTCAAAGTAGTACGTATGAAAGCCACTTTTCACGTTGTGGTAGATATAGGCTAATCCGTCACTAGAAAACATATGTAATATAATATAAGCTAAGCATATAAACGGAGCTATGATTAAATAGTGACACATCAAGAGTTAATCTGTCGAATTTCTTCAGCTGCTTTTTTTGTGATCAAGTTGGATACAGTAGACTTGTCTGATGTAAAAAAGTAAGACCGGAAAATACGCTTCTAGCAAAAGAGCGATATACTAGACTGTGTTTTGAAGCATGAGAGTATTGATGAAAGTATTAAAAATTTCCAAATTCCTATATAATCTGAAATAACAAATTGCATTAAAACGAATATGTAAAAATATTAAAAATTATTTTTTGTTTATTTACAGAAACAACTTGTTGTCCAGGTCAAATGCTGATAAAAACACAAATTTATGTGTTTCGAAAAGGTAAAACTTAGAAATATGATCGCTTTCCAACTTTAAAATTAATACTTATTTCAGCACGATCACATTAAGCACACCGAATGTCGGCGATAATCGTACCAATTGTAATCTTAGTCAATGTACAAATAGGTTTGGCTGCTTTTTGTTTAATTCTTGTTAATTCTGTTCAATATTTTTGATTCTTTAGCTTCAATATCGACCGTTCTATTATCCGACTGTCTGATTTAAGTAATAATTCCCGTGAAAATCGACCAACAAATACACCTATTCATATACGTACGGTTGATATTCTAAGTTCAATTGAATATCGAGAGCTAGAGAGAAAAAATAGAGATTTATCAAATAAAAATGGTGTTTTAAAAGAAGCGTTGAAGAAAGTGCAAAAAGAAAGAAAAAAAATGGAAACAACTCATATGTGTAAGTTTTTCAAAATATTAAGTAGATTTTAATACAGCATTCTCTGGGAGTTCATACTCCAGAAAGAATCTTCTATGATCATTTTCACATTCCATAATATATCATTGCTCAATTATGAATTATTATAAAGGAGCAACTTTCAATATCATCCATTGGACGATACAGTCTCCTATGATCAATCTATCTCTTTATCGTTATTATCGAATATTATTTATCAACATTTTTTTTATTGTGTTATTTTGAATTGCTCGTTTGTAGCTATTGGAAAGAATAGAAAATGGATTAGATCATCTTTTATTAATTATTTAAATAGCACGTTTTAACTTGCATTCTTTTTCTTGCAGTAAAACCTCGTGAATCATTTTGGAATGAATTAAATTTCTTCATGGATTCATGCAATAATGTGTATCAAGGTGATGGCCGAACTATGGATAATATAGCTGGTGAACTCGGTTTGAATCCACTAATTCTTCAACAAGTACAACGGGAGGCTGATAAAGCTGACAAAGTCGCTATGAACATTTGGCGAAAGTTATGTCCTACACGTGCCGATCAATTGTACGTAAATTCAATCAAAAATGTCCCAACATCTACATTACAAAACATTTATAGTAAGTTACTTAGTTATGGAAGGGTGCCGAATAAAACTTTGCATAGTTGATCTTTCTCATAATTATGAATGTTTCATTAGAACAGATGATATGAAGCTACTAATAGTTATAAGAGGCTATCAGTGAGAACCTTACAAATAAAACGTTTTATTGTTTTTAATTTTAGCATTGGCACGTTTAAGTTTTCCAAAAGGCAACTTGAATTACAAAAAAATGCGAAACGATATCGCAGCTAGTCTACGACAAGGTCATTTTAATTCTAAAGGAACTACAAACACGTCGTTCATCGATAGTGAAACTCAACAAAACGATCAAAGCGATGATGAACATGAAATTGTTGTTTCTGGCGAAACTTCGGCTCATTCCAAATCATCTTTTCAAGCAAGAAATTCAATTGATCACACCATTGATGATGATGATGAAGATGATGATGAAGAAGAAGAATTAAAACACGAATGGGATTACATGGAAAATATCGATCAAATGTAGATGTTCTTATTCGTTTTTCTCTATCAAATTTTAGTGTTATTTCATTAGGGCTTTCGTGTAAAATATTATTGTATTATTTGTTCTTTTTTACGAGTAACTACTTTTTGTCTTTAAATATGATAATTTCATGTGAAATCCACATTTTATATGTATTGCATTGTTTTCTCATTTATTAACTTCGATGGTCTTGTTAGACACATATTATATGAGTGTTACGTTCATGCTAAATGAAATTGTAATATATTTTTTATGAAATAAATGAAACAAAAAAGAAAGAAATATTATCCTATATTCGAATAAAGAAAATAAGAAAAAAAATGATGTCGAAGGGTCAAAGAGGAAATTGCTTTTAGATGAGTGATGAAAGCAACGATGAAGTGGAAATGGTTATGGATCAAAAGTCTCGATTTAGTCGTTATCGTATGCGAGTTCGAGAGAAAATCAATCTTGAAATAAATGAAACTATGTTCGTCGATGACCAAAACACTACGTCGTATGCCCTGTTTTGTTTTCTGTATCATCTACCTCAATTTGAATTACTAGAATGACTGAAGTTTCTAATGTTGTACAACGGCACGTCGAATTGATTGCTGAAGTACCAATAATAAAATATGACGCCTGCACTCAAACTTCAGACTATTTTTTAAATTTCGAAGCTGAACAAATTATTAATGAATATAATGAAAATAACGATATTAATCGATTCGAAGGTATTAGCAATATATTTCTATTTTATAATGATTATATTAGTAAATCTAAAGATAATGACAATGATTCATATGAACTTGGTGACAATGATCATGATCCTAATCAAATTTCAATTGATATGGATGATGACATGGAAGATATACCGGATGTTGAGTGCGATGTATTCGATAATAATTTTAAAACTGAACGACCTCCGAATGCTATTGAGCTTTCAGTAATGTTACTTTTACTTTGGAAAAAGCACTCTATAAGCAAAGCTGCGGTCAATGATATTTGTCGAATTTTAAATTTTTTTAATATTCCAAATATGCCCAAAGATTTTCGTGGAGTCATATCGCGAGTCAAAAAAAACAATTCTAAACTGCTTCACGGGAATCATTCTTTTATATGTCCATCATGTTTACGTAAAGGTTCAAGTTCTTCAAAATGTGATGCCAATGGATGTGTATCTGCTTTGTCATACGCTCGTAAACCAACATCGGTTTTCACTTTCTCTCTTTTGCCTCAGATCATTTCGATCCTTGAGCGAGAAGATCGTGTATCATCATCGTATGTATTTGGTCAATCCCATGATGTAATAAACTCTAGACGCTACCAAGAAATAATAACGAAACAAAAACAAATAGATCCACAAAGAAATATCGTTACTTTTACACTTAATACTGATGGAGTACTCATTAAACGTATATCTCGCTCCTTATGGATGACGTGTGCATGTATCAATGAGTTACCAAGAAGTAAACGTTTTCAAATTAATAATATATTAATATGCTCTATATCAACGGGTGACGAAAAGCCAAAAAAGAAGGAATATGCAAAAATATTAGAAGATATCGTCCATGAATTAAAATTTCTTGAAAACATAGGTTTTGATGTAATTTTACCATCGCACAAGAAAGACCACAAAAATAAATACACCTATTTCTATGCATTTATCATCTCAGCAGTTTGTGATAAACCTGCACAAGCGCTCGCTATGAATATAAAAGATCCAACTGGATATTTTAGTTTGAGTAGATTCATTATGGACGTAGAAATGGAGATATAGTGAAGCAGCCTTTAAAATTTCTCAAACTTTGAGTAATTAGGAGTCATTTCATCGTTTTCTTTTGCCCGATTTTCCGTGAAATTCTTGTTTTCAGTAGCATTTTACCTAGAAAATAAGCTAAGTAAATAATATAAATCTGAATAGTGTGTTGTTATAAGGTAAGATCATGATTAACAGACATGAATTATACTCTGGAATGGAAAAATTAGTGCTAATTGTACTATATATTTGAGTTCGTTGATATTGGAATATATTATTTTCTGAAGTTTTAGTTTTCCCTGCTCATTAAAATAATATCTATTTCAAATAAAGAGCTTTAGAGTAGTTTTTATTTTTCTTCGTTGTTTATAAAAATGAATGTTTTACTTTTTTTTCTTAATATTTTTGCATTCACTAGAGCTTTATTATGTTTGTTTTGGAGACTGTAATTAAAACAAATTCTTTGAAATAAAAAATCTATGCTCAATAAGTTCTTTTTCTGCTGACTTTTCCGAGAAGGTTGTCTATAAAACTGGATAAATCTGAAGAGTAGGAAAATAGGATACAAAACAAAGAGGATATTTACCTATATGTCTTTTATGAATGATCACTTGTGGCTGGTGTTGTATACAAGGTTAGCATAGTTCTATTATTTGATATTTACTCCAAATTTTTTCTAACTTCTAATATCATATATTCGTATAATATCAGGTGAAACCAGCACAACAGGTACAAGATGTTTTATTACTAAAAAAAACACGTCTGTGATGGTTCGAAATAACGCCACATATGATGCATTTATACAAATTTTGGATTCAGTTAGTTATCCTGTGTAGTTCACTTTTTTCCTAGTAATCTATGTTTTTTTCTTTATGTAGAATTATGTAGAAAAAGATCCTATGAAAGATAAAGCATGTGGACATTTAGGCCACTGTGCACTACGTAACCTAACATATTTTGAAATAGGGGAAAGTTTTTGCTTTGATTCGTTACATGGTTTATATACTGGGGTATTTGTAAGTATTATAATTATTATTACTGAAATTACTTTTAAGGAATTCTAACCCAAAAGTACAGAAAGTTTTCTTGTCATCAGAATATAATTCTGTCAACGAAAGTTCTACTCTTTTATTACTTAATAATAATATCAGTGAGTCTTAGATGATAAAGAAAAATATGATCAAATCTTATTTGATTTGAATGATTAGAGTTGATTATACTACTGATGTTAGTCAACAGATGAGAACTAAATCTCATTAATGCTTATATAGCATAAATTTCAATCATAACATATTTATAATCTGTACGCAAATTCGAATCGAACGAGTCTAAAATATTTTCGTTTAGTCGAGCTATAAAATTTCTATCATATGCTTCCATATGGTTATCATATTGCAAAAGAAAAAATTATCTTAAAAAAAGAATATTCATTATGTACATAAACAGATTTAGTGAAGATTAAGATTTTTAAGTGTTTTATATCTTCTATCAAATATTCATTTTTATTAAATAACCAACCTGTACAATATTGCGGCTATATATACATATTATATTTTATTCTTGAAGTGAGAATTATGTAGAAAGATAGTCCTACAAAAAGAAAACCGTGCAATCAATTTGTGCACTGCTTTGAAGTTCCACTCGAACATTCTCTTCTTTTTTTAATATTTGTATCCATAGAAAAGATTGATGCTTTTGTGGTTTGACGTTACGAAAGCCGATTATTCAATTAAAAAAGAATTTCATAGGATGGAGAAACTGCTTCAGACAATGCACTATCCAACGACAAATCGATTACCACGTCCCTTACGATATTATAAATCATGGAAAGCAAATGAATTTAGAATTACGATACTTTTTGCATATAAGTATTTATTACCGATTTTATATATTATTTGTTCAATTCAAGTTTTTTTTCTTAAAGACTTTTTGAGCAAGTAATGAAACAAACATATTACGAACACTTTAGATTATTAGCATATGCTGCAATTTTTTCTGAAATGGAGATATTGACAACTGATCGACTGAATCAAATCAAAATTCTTTTGGATGCATTTCTGAATCAGTTTCCTTTGTTGTATGGTGTCCGTATAATAATAGTTACTTTTTGCTATTAACTTTACTATATTGCTCTGGCTTTAAAGGCGTCAAATTGTGTGCCGGTAGTGCATTCTCTGGCACATATTCATGAAACATTACTGAAATTCGGCCCACTTCATAGCTATAGCACCTTCAATTTTGAAAGCACGATAGGTATTCGTATTGTTTTTCTTTTCTCGAATCAAGAGCTTCATCTATGAATATCAGCATAGCATTTTAAGAATGGATAGTAACTTTAAGTTAGAAGTCAGAAAATCAACACAAAGTAAAAATGATAAATCTGCTGAAAATGTTAAATCGAAGTATGCCCTTCAATCTGCATATTTATACATGGTTTAAAATACATAAAATTAGCAATTCTCAATTTAAGTAATCTGCAAAGAGAGTGTTTTTATTAAAAGTTTACTAAAAGGAATAAAAATGAATAAAGCTCTATGCTAATTAGTAGTCTGCATCTTTTAGACAAAACGAGTGGTTGGTTTTGTTAAATTACAATTTACCTGCTTGATATCTTGTACTGTTTTTCTACCAGCACCATAAAAAGTGACTTTTTTGTTCGAACGAAACGAATATTTGATCATATCTTATGTACGGTTTTTTTATTAGGATCACTTGTAAAATCTATATATGGTCCATCAATGGTTATATCTGAACTAATTAACAATTTTGAACTTTCAAATTATGCAACCACTATTCTGAAGAATCATTACTTTCATCCAAAGGTTGCATTACTAATTAATCAAATACTTTCTTCAAAGAGACGGGCTGTACCAAAATCTATTGAGCAAAATATTGTCATTCATTTAGCTCGTGCTACACCGATTGCGTTTTCACATGTAGCTATATATATTGATAAGATATACGGCAAAGGACAGTACACTTATCATTCGCTGTGCTTCTGTGAAGATGTACCGTCCAAGGTTCATAGACCGAGCAATAGTCAAGTCGATGATTCGGCTTTGATATACGTTGATGACTCCAACAATATTCGTCTTGGTGTAATTGTTGGTATTATTCGATTAATAACTACTACTAACATTATATTTATCATTGATCAAGCGAAAATCATGGATTGTGATTTCTTCTTACTTAATGGGATAAAATACATAAATGATTTACTTGTCTATACACAATTTCCAACACCTCCAAATACTATTTCCATTGGATATAATTCAATCATAGAGAAAGCTGCTTATCGATTCGATCAACATCAGAATTCAATATGTGAATTTCACCTTTTCCCAAACCTTCTAGAATCTACATGAACATTGTTTAAATAGCTGATATTGACTAATATTGGAATTTAGAAACTTTTAAAATATTTTGCTATCATACTGATGTATTGAAGTGTTAGAATATATAATATCTTAAGTTCTTGATAATCTTTTAAAGTAAACAGTGGATATGTTGTATCGAAGTTACACCACACTGAAAAAAGATAAGTACTCTACGAAACTTAAAAAGGTTCCGAGATTTGCAACGAATTCGAAACCCTTTTGCGATGTCGTATGGAACCTTCAAAGTTCCGTATAGTCTCACGAAACCTGTGTCGGAGTCTTCGATATCTTTAAGGGTTTTGTGAGACTTTACGAAACCCTTGAAGGTTCCGCACGAAATCGCAACAGGGTTTCGAATTCGTTGCAAATCTCGGAACCTTTTTAAGTTTCATAGAGTACTTATTTTTTTTTCAGTGCAGTCGACGAAATTATAACTTCGAAAAAAATAATCGTCAAAGTTATTTTTTATTCAGCTATCAATAAATAATTTATTAAATAAAATGTTCGATTGTTGACTGCATTAGAACCTTTTTTCAACAAATACTATTTATTCAAAAATATTGTTGAATAAATGATACTTATTGAAAAAAACTTTTCTAATACAGTTAACAATACAAAATTCAATTTAGTAAATTATTTCTTGATAGCTGAATAAAAAATAGCTTCGGCGATTTTTTTTTGTCGAAGTTATACCTTTGTTAACCGGTGTAACTTTGACACAACAGATACATACAAGATACACTACATGCACAACTATACAGCATTACAAGCAGATAAAAAAAATTTCGATGCCATGAAAATTTTATTTGAAGAAGTTAAACAATGTACAAAGAGAATTCATATGCTCTTGCAAAATTAGAGGAGAAAAGAAGTCAGATATCTTCAGGGAATGCCTTACATTTTTATGATTGCTTAAAGTACAATAATGTATTCTAATGAAATATTAAAAGGTGATATTTGTTCATACGAATTTAATGTATCGAATATGAGGCTTTGAGTTTTAACTAATCGTAGTAGGGAAGCTCATTTCAACACGTTAAATTCAAGTAAGAACATAGTAATACTCGTTAAAAAATATGCGTAAAAGTACGTTCTTTTAATGATAAATTTCGCGTTAATACGCGTCGTAACTTTTTAACATCATAAAACTCGTCAAAATTGAGCCACATACGCGTAAAACCGTCGAAAGGCTAAACATTTTTACGCATTTTAACGTACTGTGGGACCTACAATGCGCTAACAAAATCGTTGAAACGGCGTTTTAACGCTAAAGTACCGCCCATGTAATCCCGAAGCGCATTTTAGACGCCGTTAGATGCGTTTATGTTGCAAATGTTGGCGTCCTGGTGCGTTTCGGTATCGAATTATGATAAAAACGCAGATAAAGGCGTTTGTAATTATCTTATTAAACGCATTTAAAGAACTTCGACGAGCTTGCTAGCGTTAATCAGAGCAAACGTATACAAACGCGTTTAAATTCCTATTTTAAAACGCGTGTGAACGCAATCTGTGTTTTTTCTTGCGTTAGATCTTGTACCACAATTGAAACGCAATTTATTTGCTATCCAATAAACACAGTAAAATCGGCGAAGTAGATAAACATGTTTCATGGAGGTATGAGTAGTTCATGAAATGTCGAAAACGCGTTTCATTACACTGATTTCCAAAACACAACTGAATTCATAGTTATATAGTACGTAGTGTTAATGAAGAGTGGTCAGACATGCAACAAATCTAATATTTTTGGTTTCGAGGTTTTTGTTTTCGTTTTCATTTTGAAATACGTCGAAAAAGATTATATTTTCAAACTAAAACCAAAACTTCAAAACTAGTTTTGAGTTTGGTTCATGCCTAAGAATGATGGCTATCGAAATCTGCATTTATATAAAAATAGGCTTGAGTACAACGGAGTTTGCTCTAGTTAAAATGCTACATTGCGCTAGGAACAAAGTCTTTGTGTTATATTTCGTCTTTGGAAACTGTTAATTAGCAGTAAAAAGGTCCCTTATTGATTCACTTAAGTAAAAAAGAAATCTATTTAGTTTTATTGAATACGTATATGATATCCATGATATTTTTTCTTTTGAACTTTAAAATTCAGCCTTCGTTTATATGTTGAGGATTGAATCAAATAAGGTTTGGTTTAACAGATTGATTTTATCAAATGAGTATTTCTGGGATAATGCATTTCTATTCGAAAGTTTTTATTGAAAATATTAGACTATAAATACAACTGTATGCTTCTGTTTTCTTATAGTCGGAAGTACTTTCTGTTGTGCACACGGTAGATTATTATCTTAACATTATCGTTAGGATTTTCATCATTACTGTCGTAAATAACGAAGTAAATTAGATGCATATTCTGGTTTTACTTTCAATTGCTTTTTAATAAAAGCTCGACAAAAATGTTCTTTGATGCAGAGTTTAGTATAATTATCTTTATTGTTCCTTATAATGAACAATCCATCGAAGTAAAACTTATTTTATGAAGTTAATAAAAACGAAAAAAACGCATCTTAACTATTTAAAAAATTGAAAACAAACAGTTTTTTAAATATTTTAATTTAAATATCGATCAATATTCTGTTCTAAAAAGACAAATTAAGGAAGTTTAAAAAATTCTTAACATTATAAGATCATTCATTCTATTTCCGATGGATGGCTTAAAAGATGACAGTATGACGGTTACGAAAAAATAGACAAGCAAGATTTTTTTATTTTATGTGTTGTGATATATCGTTCTCATTTTCTATAAAAATACTTGTTATAGTGTGTTTATGCTGATGGAAAAAATTTTAATTAATATTATTATACTGCGAATATGTGCATTTATACCCTTCAAAGACAGATATATTTGTTGTTCTTAATTATTTTCAGTAACCAAAATTTTGAGTTTTTCCCACTGTTATTTCATGGATAAAAAGAATGCCTTATCTTGATTTCATTAAAATAAATATCCTAATTATATTTATTTTAAAAAGCAAGATAAGTCAAAAATACTGTAAAACGATTAATTCATGTGATTCATGAAGATAATAACAATATCCAGCAATATATGGTTCAGCGCAAGTTATGTTCGGCTTGTAATTAATGGTTCATGGGTTCAAATCTTGGTTCACGCTATCGTTGGAAAAATTACCACTCTGTTGCTCATGGTATGTGGGTGTTATATCATAGCTTAATATGATGCGTCGGCTCAATTCCGACACAGAGTGATGATAATTTTTAATTTTTTTGGGGGAAAAAAGTAAACGCGTTCTAACGCATCTTGTATCCAGACGCATTTAGACGCGTTTACTTTTGAATGCGTTCCCACGCTTGAAAATGTTGCATTTTGGACGAGTCTTAACGCGTCTTCCAATGCAAACGACTTATGATGCGTTTAGATACCGAACGAGTGTAGACGCATCAGGTTACCCTGGATGCGTCTGCACCCCCGAAAATGTTGTATTCTAGATGCGTCCTGATGCGTTAAGTGCCATCGTTCACAAACGCACAGAGACGCGTTACGACTCGAAAAAAAGTTACATGGGTGATGTCTGTCGATTAATTGTGAATGTAAATGTTTTCGTGATGATTTACAAAGTTCACCTTCTTTGAATCAATAGATACAATTAATATATGAAGGAATATTTTCACATAGGAACACAACATTCCACTTATTTTTTATAGGAATGAAACAAGATTAAAGGAAACATCATACTTAACTTCTAGTGGGTCGGATAAATCTTTGACTTGAAGTAATTCATACCAGTTTCCATACGTTCGCTTCTTTATCTAAATAGATAGAACGATTAAATGAAAATAAAACCTTTAATGTACAAAAAACCTTCACATAATTCTCTGCATATGTGAAGAACGAAAATAAAATGAATAATGATATGTAACTTTAAGTGGGCCGATTAAACCATTGACGTGAACCAATTGATTGAGAATAAGTCCATGTTCTTAACATTTTCTAAAGTTCCTCTTGTTTATCTAGAAAGATAAAACGATTATAAAAAAAAGGAGATCTTTTCATACACGAAAGGGTCGCTGAAATGATTTTCTGAATATGTAAAATTCATACTTAACCTTCATTCGGTCGTTAGAAACATTGATGCGAAGCGATTGATTCAAAATGAGCACATGCTCGCACAAGTGAGAACTACTCGTGTTTACCTAGATAAATAGAATGATTGAATGGAAATATATCACTTCACCAAGAAAAAAATCGTCCCGATAATTTACTCGATATGACTCAACAGGATGAAGTAAAAAAATGTAATTTACTTTGTTGTGGATTGTTGAAATGATAGAGATGGATCAATTTATTGAGAACCACGAGTTGTTCGCAGTAATTTTGAAAGTTTTTCATTTTTATCTAGATAAAGAAAACGATTATGTAAAACCAAATCTTTTTGTATAGAAAATAATAGGTCGGATAATTTTCTCGGCATAGAAGAAACGAAATCAAGTGAGCCGTCATACACGCTAGAAAAAATAGGTTTTTTACGAAACCTTAATAGTTCCACATTTTTTCACCGAACCTTTTTAAGTTCTGTGGAGTGCAAATGGATTCGTGGTTCCCTTTCTAAACCTTTTTAAGTTCGGTAGATTTTACAGGAATCGGCTATTTTGTGACGGAACTCTTTGCAAGTTCCGTAAAGTGGTTTGCGATTTCTTACATCATGTGCCGATGCTTTCATAGTTTAGTAAAATGAGCTAAGGTTTCGTAATATGCCGGCAGAACCAGCGTTGGTTTCGTTGATCAAAAACTGGTTCCGTCTTTTTGATACGAAACCACTGATAGTTTCGTTGGCCATCCGAAGGTTTCGTATTTTTTGTGCGAAACTTTTCGAATTTTCTTGTCCGCTAAAAGGCTTAGTGCATTTTATACAAAACGGTTCATAGGTTCCAACGTTCTCTTAAGGTTTCCCAAATTTCATATTGACTCGGGATGGTTTCGTTAATTTATTTTCATACATTTCCCATAATTATACTAAGAG